CGTATGCATTGATGTAATTGTATAGAAAAGTCGACAACGACAACGACAACGACGACGGCAACGAAGAGAAATTCGTGGGCGACGTGGGACGATAAAAAACCGTGTAACATTCTTTTCTACTTTTTTTCATTACGGTATCGATCTTTTACAAAGCACTAAACTATCATTATGTTATTAAGACGTTTCTTTGAACGAGCACGCACTCGTTCTTCCAGTGATAACAACAAACGTGAGAATTATTATTACTTATCGAATTTTTTTTCTTATCATATAAAATAAATATTTCATTTATGTTTTAATAATTATTTAGAAATATGTTTATGTACAACAGCTAAACGAGATTCATTGTATGATGATTCAGTGAGATCATTAACGAAAATAAATGAACGACCAACAGCCGAACCATATGGCGTCATTCGTACGGGTAAGTTTTAATATATACAATACACGTATAGTTCATTAAAGAAAAAAGAAAGATTAATCATATAAATAGAATGCTGCAATAGTTCGACAATTATCAGTGAAAGAATTCTCTATTAATTAATCTTTCTGTCCTTGTCTAGCGATATATATATATACACATCTTGCTATGGATCATCTGCTTATTCTCTTCGTTAAATCTAGACTTAGACTATACATGAGTATTTACATTTCTTTAGATAAACCAAAGCGACTGATGCGTCAGGCAAGTTTAGATGAATCTGATGGTGAAGATGATACAAGTATTACTGAAAAATTACGTCGTGCATCATCACAATCACCAGCAAATATTCCGATGTTAGTTGTAGTTTCATTTAATCCTGATGCAAAAGGTTTACAAAAAAAACAAATTGAAATTCAACGAGGTTTTCCTGTTAATGCTCAATATATTTTAAATGAATGGTTATTTATAAAAACAGCTGATGATGAAGAAGGTTTTGTTCCATATTTATGTTGTCGTCCAATGTTTCGTCGTCAATTAACAAAATGTTCGAATAATAATAATAATAATATGGAAAATTCTTATAAACCTTATGATTTTGAATTAAATAAATCTAATCGAATAAAATCTCCACCAATAAATCTCGTAACATTAACACCACCAACAAATAAAAAAACTTCTTTATCAGCACATCTTTGTTCACCAACATATTTATTTCAAAAATCTTCACCGTGTAGAAAACGTCCAGATGTTGCATCATCATCATGTGGTGGTGATTCAGGTGTTTCAGATTGTGAATCCTCATCAAATCATAATCCAACATTAGATTCATCAACAACACTTACAGCACGTTTATCAAATATACGATCATTACGTTTATCATCTATTACATTAAAAAAAAACAGGTCTTATTGTACAAGATATTCCATTAAAAAAATCATTTAAACCTAATTTAATGAAATCACAATTGTCAATATCAAGTAATAGTGCATTTACACAAATTATTAAGAAAAAACAACGACAGGAAAGGTAAAAAAAAGTCTTGCACAATCTCAATTCAAAACGAATATGTATAGTACATAGAATTACATTAGTATTGAGGGATAGGCATTGCTTTGTGGTTACTTCGTATTTTACAAAATAATTGTCTTTTAAACAATCGTGTTTGCACCCCAACCACTGGCGCTCTCCTGTTCCTTTTTGTTTTAAATCAATTGATAGTAGACATTGATATCTAAAGCAATGTTTTTATATGACAGGAAAGGCAAAAAAAAGTCTTGCACAATCTCAAATCAAAACTAATATATATAGTAAATAGAATTACATTAGTATCGAGGGATAGGCATTGCTTTGTGGTTACTTCGT